AATGTCAACATTGAATATGAATATATTCATATATACATCTGATCTTCTCTGATCTTTTATTATGGAAATATGGATCATAAAAATATAAATCACAACTCTATAACAGATAGCAGCACTAGCGCTAGATCATAAAACATCTTACCACGTTCCCACTACTTCGATTTTTATTTTTTGGTTTGGGTCCAAATTTGCCCCAAGTTATGGGTACATCACTAATATCAAAACGAATCTGATCCAAAATGTTTCTAAAAAGAAAACAATTATAATCTTTAAATACAACTCAAAAGAATATAATCTATTAAATATGAAGCTATAAAATTAAAAAATGTAAGACGAAAAATTGTAAAACACTACTTAAAAAAAAAAAAAAAAATTAAATTGATCATTTATAGGACAATTTTATTCTTTTAAGGCCATGTTTACTTATTACCCAAACTATGGCAAGCAATGAAGTGAAAAATGAGTATCTGGCTAAGCTGATGTATTCCCACTGTTCTTGGCCAATCCTTTCTACTTTCAGTTTTTGGATTGGAATAACCGACCCAATTTCCACATTTATCTACCTCATTGGAACTAGACAGAAGCGTGTAAATAAATACCTCTTTTCTTTTGTTTACAGAGTCTCTAATGGGGAAGAACTCTTACAGGGAAAACACTCTTATCAGTCTCCAATTAGCAGCAGCTAAAGTGGATTTAGAAGTTAATGAATCAAGAACCAAATAAATGCATGCAGGTCCGCAACTGGATTTGCAGAAACCATCGCACTTTGTTGTAGCTGGAAGCTATTAATTTGAAAGGGTGAAAGAGTTAATCCACATTGTTTCATAACCAAACGCAGATAGTTCACAAGAGGACCCCCCTTTAAAGGCTCGAGAGGAGAATTTACAGCCCCGTTTGCGTCTATGGAACCTGGATAATAAGGACAAATGCTGAGCTAACAAGATTCTACAAGAGCCTGACCATCATGAGGGGGATAAAAGTAGTATGCCTTCACAGGTACTATTTCACTGGTACTGCTCACGGCAGTGACCGCTAATGCTTGTCTGTTTTGCTGAAACTGCTCACCGTCACGGCCAAATCTTCACAATTTAACGTCCTAGTTTGATATAATTTTAAATAAAAATGTTAGCCTTATTAAATTTAATGGTTTTTATTTGTATCGGAAGGATATCAACAGAATTCATAACGGAGTTTCGATCTTATTTAATTAATACATGCCATTTTTTCTAGTAGTTAAAGTTGAATAACAAGGTTAGGTTATGTCTGTAATAGGAAATGTTAACAATTATCCACATATTAATTACCAACTTCTACAAAATGATTCTTTCTCATAATATTTAGAATATGAAATGTAAGCATTCATGGTATTAATAATATGATAAAGCATTATTTTAAGAACTGAGGATTTATTTCTGATTTTAAATTTATTATTAATTATTAGTTTGATAAGTAACAGTAATTAATTAGTAATAAATATAAGATCTTTCTAATTAAATCACAGCAGGTGATGTTTTATCGTTTTATCAATAAGTAATCAGTAAATCAGCACTTCAATTAAAAAATACAACTTGATTTTTCAATGCATGGATTTTAGTATTTATCTGACATTAAAATTTGTTGGATTATTCAATTTATTTAATGTCGTTTGGATTTAGGTATATTAGACTTTCTCTGTAAAATACTATTGGTGTTATAAATAATTAAATATTCTTGTTACTTCAATCTTAAAAAATGATTTACTATAGCTTTGTTATATTTTAAACAATATTTAATTTAATTTTGCCAGACTTGATAAAAAAACAACAGAAAATGAAACGTATCAAAGTGACTGTTATCATCTAAACAATGCTCCGATGTAATAACGTAACCTATCATCGCTGTACTGCCAGCAGCTTCACTGCTTCAGAAAGGAGCAATCTGGATATTACGTCATAACAAGACTGCCTGGCAGTGCCAACGAAATAGGTTCCTTTCTATTTCACTAAAGCAGTTCTCAACCGCTAGCAGTTGATGCCGTTGGCAGTACCAGCGAAATAGTACCTTTCGATTTGGGCAGAACATATAATAAGTATGACCTAGGATCAGATTGCTACGATGATCCTAAATGAAAAGATTTTTGGAACAAGAAGAGTGGGAAGATCACGGTTCCGATGGATCGATGGAGTAGCAGCGTATGTTATGAATCTGCAACCAATAGAGAAGACTGGCGGAGCAAGCTGTAAGAGGCCTTGGAACTACAAGAGTCGTAGGACCACGGATGATGAAGATGAGTCTTTATTTGCTTGAACATGCTTTGGGGAAAGGTGTAAACACGCCTTAATATGGTGGAGAAGAAGTACTTATATTAAACGAAGAAGTATACTTCTATTAAACTGAGATTACTCTATCTAAATAGATGTTTCATTAATTTTTTTTTCCATTCTTATAACATTTTAAGGCTTATCACATAATATATAAAATATAGTACTGTAAATAATAAATTAAAAAAAAATATTCAACTCCACACACATTGAAAGTGACCTCATATAAAAATTAAATAAAAGTCCTAGACGTTGTTGTGCAGCCAGGCATCTGATATGAAATAAATAATAGATTAGGGTTGAATACTTTAGTAAAAAAAAAAATTACAATAATTATAATAATAAAGCCGTTTTATAAACGTATGCAGAAAAAATATATAATGACCATAAATATTTAATTTAGGCATTACTTATTAATAACTGAGTGTTCCATGTTTCAAATCATCTGTTTGCATATATTAGTTAAAAAGCGACAGCCAAGCAAATATAACATTGAAATTATTTTGCTATCAACAGTAATACAACAATTAGACATTATTTAATTATTATTATTATTATATTACTTTTCACGGTTAACAACTATATTCACAATTTAAAAATAAATAAATGCAACCAATATTAGATTTATTATCGAAATTTCAATTTTCAACAGCCTTTATGTTTAGAAAACAAAAATATATTTAAAGCATCAATTTAATAAAAAAAAATAATAATGATAATACAATAATAAGGTAAACAACTTTATCAATAAATAAAAATCTGACATTAGTAAAATAAGTCTGAACTCCACTTGAACCCTTATGTACTGAATTCCCATACGTAAACAAATTCTTTGAATCTAATTGTTTTCAAGAAAAAAAAAAAAAAAAAAAAAAAAAAAAACACTTCTAATTATATCAAATAAAACTTATGTGCATGGAATAAATATTTCTGCACAAAGACATTAGAAGCTACTCTGTACGCATTGTATGAATAATATGTTCTATGCAGACTAACTTTGTGATTATTGTTATATGTCTGTCTTACAAGACATTACAATGAACACATCAAATTTTATTCAAGAAATTTTATAATTAGAGATCTGAATGTATATAAAATCAAATCATTGTGAATAATTTAAAAAAAAAAATGAATCGATTTAATATTAATGTCATCATTTTTTTTAAATTTAAATATGAAAAATTCATAATATTTTTCTTTTCACAAAATTTACTTTTCTTTCATTTTTTATTCTATAAAAATAAATTTATTAAAAATATTATGTGCATAAACAGAGCAGGGCTAAATTTAAGTAAAAAAAAAAATTAATTGCACAAATAATTATTTTGTTTTAATTAGATAATTATTAAATAATTTGAGAGTTTTATTTATTTTGTTTTTTAAATAATAGAATTAATAATGGAAAATCTCGCTACTGTTAGTGCACAAGGTCATATGTAACAATTATACATGTTTATTCTCTTTGCGCTAAAGGTATTCATACAACCAGGGCTAAGTATTGTAAATCTCTTAAATGTGTAAATTCGAGAAAATTATTAATGAAATGTGTGTTAAATATGGACGATAGCACTCTCGATTTTAACGCAGCCTAGGGTCCTGGAAAGTGTTGCTAACTATAAACGCACAGAAAAGGTTATTGTAAGGTTTTGATTCTCTGTTTTTTTTATACGTGTACAATATCCACAGAAATGTAATGTAAAGACAGCTAGACTTCATCTATGTATTCATCAAGTTCTTTGCCTTCTGAATCATCAGAATCTTTATTCATGCTTTCTAAATAAGGCATTTTAAACCAAATAATCCAGCAATTCAGTCTTTTCACTTTGCTTTGGCATTTTAAAAATAAATCAAAACGTTAGTAAATCAATTAAGGACTCATAAACTTTGTTTAAGTTACAGGCATAACCTTTCTATAACTAATAACACTTTAGCACCGACAGGTTATTTAACATTCATTCAAAATTAGTGCTGACTGCTTAGCATGATAGCACATTAAGCATTTACGATAAGTGCATGAATACTCTTATTATGTAGTCTGCAACTGATATAAATAGTCTGTTAAATAGAAAAATACCATAGGGAAATAAAATATGAAATTATAATAAATCATAAAGAAATAAAAGGTTATTTTATGTTCTTCTGTAAAAAAAAAACTTTTACATACGACCTTTTTCACTAACAGTAGCAATATATGCAATATGATTACAAAATAAGAAAAATAGGAGAAAAATATATGCTTACGGAAACTACTGAACTATTCGTCTCAAGTTAGGCCTAAGCTTCTTTTACTGCATAAATGATTTTTCTGATTTTTTTTTTTTATACAGAAAATCAAAACATACATTTTATTCAACAGAACAATCTAAATTATCAAATGTAAATCCTACAGGTTCGGTAATCTAACAAGTTCATGACATCTAGGGAAGAACAATCTGATCGGTCGTAGAGGATGGAAGCAAAGGGAGGAGTTGTTTTCAGGCCTTAATTTAAAAATACTGAAACTTTGAATTTATAAATTTTTAAGTAATCGTTTTTTTTTATTATTATGAGCAATAATAAAACAAATTTATCTTGGCATTATTTTGACCTTAATATTGTACCATTTAAATGGGATGCTTAGTAATCTGAAATAATTGATAAAACTGATAACTTGTTGAATCATCAGGTTGAATCTGAAGCAATAATAATAATAATAATCATCTTGAAATAAAATGAATATGAAGAGTTCAAGATTTCATTTCAGAATAAACTTAACAATGATAATTAACATTATTTGGTTCCTAAATAAAAAAAAATAGCTTAAAGAAACGGAGAATAAAAAAATAGTGATGTACATTACGTCAATGGCATATACAATCTGTATTTTGTTTTATTAAATAAAATCATAACTAATCTAAAAGTCAAAATCTAAACTAGTCATTATTTGGAAAAAAAAAAAAGTTAAAATAATAATAAAATAAAAATAAGATTTATATTAAAAACCCGTCTTGATGATAACTCTCCCAAGCTGGGTACATCAGCCTCCTATTGAACCAGCATTTTCAATTATTAAATACATAATAATTTTTCTTTATACATAAATAAATCAAGATGAAAAAGCCCTGTTTCCGAAACAAGTACAACTTGCATAAAACCAAACTAATCAGGTCTATAAATTGGTATCTTAGGAATAAACTCTATGAGCAACACCTGAAACAGAAAAAAGGAACATCAGCCATTACATTTTTTTTTTTTCCTAATAACTTTATTCTGGGACAAAGTCCCTTAAGAATATCAGAATATTACAGAAAAAAAAAACTGTTACATTAAAAAATAGCTAGATAAAAAGCTTTAAGTAAATAAACCGTATTTACAAAATCAAACAAATGAGTCTATTGACAAAATAATCGCTGCATAGCTAAAAAGATAAAAGAAAATAATAATCAAAAGAAAAATATTTTTAAAAATCTGGTATGCGCATCTCACAACTTTCATTTAACACCCTCTTCTTAGCAGAATCAAGTATTTTCAGACAAAGAGGAAATGAAAATAAAAATTATTGATGCTATATTTATTTGTTTAAATATCCTTACTTACAGATACAAATTTCAATTTTTATATCTCTGCATTCTATACAATTAAATGACACCAACAATAGCATTTATGAAAACCGCATATGTATATGTATATAATATTGTTGGAGTCCGTATTATATTAAGCTCATGTTACGAATGGAAGCCTGTTGTAATCTTTCGGGCGAGCTCGGGCATGCTCGTATTCCTTTGCTTCCTGCATTAAATCTGTTTCCTATTATCCGTTATGATCCCTTATTTTTCCTTTAGTTAATTATCAAATTCGGTACTTTTTGACTAGCAAGTCGGCACGAAACCTCACTTCTTATTTAACGTCATGTCACATAACTTCCCTCTTCTTATCCCGCCAAACCTTTGAGTTAGTGCATTGTTTAGTTTTCAGTTATTTCCTTATTACGTTCACTTATTACATTCTTTACTTTTGGCCCGTTTGTGTTTATTTTTCATTATTTTTAGTTTTTGGCCCGTTTGTGTTTATTTTTCATTTTTTTTTAGTTTGTGGCCCCTTTGTGTTTATTTTTCAGTATTTTTTTCGTTTATTTTCGTCATATTATGGATCTTCTTAGAATATGGGATTTGCCGTCTTCAGAAGAACAGGCAATTCAATATTTTCAAAATGTTGGGATACTTGCAGACGTGAAATTGTGTGAACGAGGTCATCGAATGTAGTTAACCAGGAACGCCAAATGGAGATGCTGTCGTAGGACTTGTGACACAAAACTTTCAATAAGGAAAGGAACATGGTTGGAGGGCTCGAGGATTTTGTATTTGACAGCTTTAAAATTGATTTATGGATGGTCCCATAGCTTAACAACGATGAAGTGGGGCAAAGAGCAACTGAAACTATCCTACAGAGCTATGGTAACGTGGAACAAATGTCTAAGAGAGGTTTGTGCCCATGCCATGTTGTGCAGGCCAAGAAAAAAAATTGGAGGACCTGGCAAAGTGGTTGAAGTAGACGAAAGTATTTTTTCTAAACGAAAAAATCATGTGGGGAGAGTTTTACCTCAGCAATGGATGTTTGGTGGAGTTTGCTGAGAAACAGATAATTGTTTTATCGTCAAAATAAATAAACAAATAAATTGAAAAGCAACAACCTTATTACAAGCAATTAAAGACAATATAGAAGAGGGAACGACCATTTATTCGGACTGTTTGAAAGGATACAACACCCAACAACTGAACGAAGCAAACTATGACCATTTCCAAGTGAATCACCGGTATAATTTTGTCGATCCATCAACTGGGGTTCATACTTAACACATAGAACGATTATGGGGCTAAGGTAAGTGGAGAATTTTTGTGGCGGCAGATTCACAGAGAAGAGGACCTGTTCCTAGCTATTTTAAATAGCATAAAACAATTTTGCCTTCCAAAATAAATAAGACAAAGTGAAAATAAATTGTACATATGTTGTTTATAGTGTTGATATTTTTTCTTTTCTATGTAAATATGTTCTTTAAATGTTTTTTTATTATTTCATTTTGATCTTTTATATCTACATATGTTCTTCAAGTGTTTTTTAAAATGTTTTTTTATTATTTCATTAATATATGTATCATAAAATAAAAGTATTTTTTTTGTTATTACATTTGTATTTGTATCTGTTTACACTTTCAATAATACGAAGACAGGAAGTAGGAGAAGGCTTATCACTGTGTTATCGGAATTATCAGTGTTCAGGTCATAAACATTGGGAGATAGCAGTCAGTGCCTGCTAGTCAAAAAGTACCTCAAATTCTTTCATATTTTATATTTAACTATTTTTTGTATCAAAGATTAATGTGTTAATTATTTCAAATATTTTATAGGAAGCTAGTATTGAAAATTAGCTACTTAAACCGTGTAAAGAGAACATCAATGAGAATAAAACCTACATTATATTAAAAACTGCTTAATGATACACTGATATAGTGAGTTTAATCAAAATCGTTGGGAGCCATTTTTGAGAATATCGTAAAAATGTGTTAAATCGATTATATAAAGAACCACTTCTGGTTTGCTGATTTTGACGAAAAGGTTGTTATTACAGCCAAACTTCACGAAAACCTTGGTAGTCTATTTATACCATAGCGGTCACTTCGTTTTTGGCAGTATTCTAGGTTACTTCAGGCTACGCAATCTCTGAGCAGTAGGTTTTGAGTTAATTTAAGAGAGTTATGTTCCAGGAAAATGATGCAAACGATTCTCGTTTCTTTTCGATCCCACAACAGATAATTTCTAAAACACTTCACTAGTGCTAGTACTTATGCTACTGTCAACACAGTCCAGTAAGTGGGCCTTGAGGCTTCTTTTTTAGCAAAATCAGACCAGCCGTCTTTGAAACACAGATGTGTCTAAGAAATTAATTTATACTTATATAAGCATAAATATCGTATGGAACTTAAATTAATAAAATTGTTATGGGATCATCTAGATAATAAGCGGCAAAATCTCTAGAAATTACATAAAAATCAGATTAAAGATAGTAGGAAATGTGCCCATAACATTGATTTGACAACAGACACCAAAACGAACTTGCTCCCTACCAGTGGATATTTTCAATTCTGAGCATAAAAAAAATGTTAACCTCCCGCATGAATAATAATAATAAGCTTCTAATAAAATATGTAGTTCGCATATAGTTTTTAAATAGCAAATAGATTAAATTAAATTTACTTACATATTCCATCATCGACGACGAATCACAACGCTGCTTTGCTAATCTCCAATGCAGACCAAGCTTATGATAAAGGTGACTATTTTCCCATTCCAATAACTTATCGATTGAATGCTGCGTCTATAATCAAGTTTAAGTTTGTTTAGATAACATTTATATAAAAATTCTGGAAAGTTATTCTGATTGAAACTAATGCTATTATTCATTCAAAGACTTAACAGTTTTAAGAACTAACTATTAAAATCTATATACTTAACAGTAATAAAAGTATTAATACAATCTGCCGCACTCCAATAAGTATTAGAGTCCATATCCATTCACATAATACATACATACTAAACAGGAATAAATATTGATAATTTAAAAAATAATAATTAGTAGAAAAAGGCCTTTTTCAGTCTCGATAAATAATAACATTTATTTCAAATTTTCGCCTCTTCAGGCATCTTCAGGGAAAAACTGATTTTACATGTAATTCAAAATTTTCATCTGAAAAAACGTTTACAAAAATCTTTTACAGGATTTACATTAGACATTAGCCCATTTTTAAGGTTACTACAAAAAAATATATATATATATATATATATATATATATATATATATATATATATATATATATAAGGTTACTACAAAAAAAAAAAAAAAAAAAAAAAAAAAAAAAAAAAAAAAAAAAATATATATATACACATATTATAACATTATAAACATTAAAAAAAAATGTCTGAAACTACGAATATTGTGAACAAACAATAATAATAATCGACATCTGATTAGGGTATTTCTTAATCTACCAGCTGATGAAACAAAATTTATAACAAAAAATGTTTACTGTTACAGAATTTAAAAAAAAATAATGTACGTGCGTGGGGATGTATGTGCAAATTATCGTTAGAATTTATATTTCTTACGAAGGAATATTATATTTTGTACACATTTTTAATATATATTATTAAATAATTATTTATTTTATATGACTATGTAGGCAATATTTTTTATCGAGAAAAACGCAAACAAATTGGTGACCGCCATTTGATTTCTAACCTGTAAATATACCTGCCAAGTAGAAAAAGGTTGGAATTTTTAGGAGTAGTATTATTTTAAAATAGCAAGTATTAAAATTGTTTACAGAAAAAATATTTAATGTTTTAAATACTTCTATCATTATATTCTAAAATGTTATTATTTATTTGAAACACACAAAATAAATTATCAATTTGAATAAACCCCTTTACAATTATATTCCATGGTATCAGACCCCTTTTTATCAAATTATTAACATCCGTCTGAAACTTCGTGAATGGCTTCATCTCATCATAACCAATAACTATTTTATTTAGGAAAATTCTAGGAATTGAGACATTTTCAATCCGGAGATTGGCAAATTTTGTCTATTTAATTAGGTACTAAAAACTCATAAATACTCATTTGCTTTCTACTTGGATTGTAAGATAATTTGATCAAAAAGTCGAGAAAAAAGGTGGTCTTAAAAAACATTGAGCCATTTGGCGTGACCTACACCTCCAAATTTTCAAAATGACGAGGTTATATAGGACAAACAGCCCAATATTTTTGTAGGCCACCTTTTTATAGATTTTGTGATCAATTTATATTACAATCCAAGCAGAATGCAAATGGTTGTTTACGAGTTTTTAGTACCTAATTAAATAGACAAAGTTTGTCCCCCTCCAAATTGAAAACGCCCCAACCCAATTTCAAGAATTTTCGTAAATAAAATAGTTCTAGGTTACGATGAGATGAAACTATTTACAAAGTTTCAGGCGGATATTAATAATTTGATTAAAAGGGGTCTGTACCATGGATTATCACTTATCATTAGATATTATCATCAAAGATCGATTAATTCAGGCTAGTAGGCCTTTTTAAAAAAGATAGGAGAATGTAAAAAAAGCATAAATTAATTGACTTTAAAGATATATATCTTTAATGAAATATAAGGATAAGAAGTGTATAATAAAATGAATTTAAGGATAATAAGATGGGGAATATTCCCCGAAATGTTAATAAGTATTTAAAAAAAATTAAATATTAAAGCAGATAATGGATATTAATTATAAATGCTAGCCGACACTTGCTGTTATCCTATAAAGTTTGAATATTCATAGGTATAAATAAAAAAAATTGATTAACAACACTGCAGTCTGAGGAATGATTTTCAAGCTGTAAAATGAAAATTAAGAGAGGTAAAATCATTATTTCAGATAATAAAACTTTCCTGGAAAATGTATTATCATTTGTAATGAACTCCTAAAGATCAATATTCATTAAATCAATATAGGTAAAAAATCAAAATCATGGCATCCAAATGGAAAATAGATATTACTTTTTCAATGAGCTCAGTTTGATGAGGAAGTACTACTTAGTACATTAATTGCTCATTCAAAGCTTACATAATTTAATTATTGGACTATTCTATTAAATTCTTTTATTTAGTTCTAATGACGTTTTTCTATTCGAAATCCTTTATCAATCAATAGTAAAATAGAAATAAGATAAAATAATAAATTTATGAAAGACCTGGGAATCAAGATAAAAAAAATTTAGAAAATCTAATTCCAACCACCATAGAAATGTGGATAAAAGCACATTAAGAGTTTCTAGCAATTTGTGTTAAATTATCAACAACTCTAACTAAAAAGTATATTAACCATCAAACACCATGGAGATTATTTTTAATGAAATATCTTGCAAATTATTCCGACAAGAGAAGGTAATAGATATGGGATAACAGACTTTAATAAATACTATTCCTTTAAAATATTTAAAGGAATAGTATTTTACTTTAAAATATATTAGATAAATGTAAGATAGCTCTTGTCAATGCATCCTACAAGTTGAGTAAATTTTTAATATAATTTCATCATTTTATTATATTATTGTTTTCTACCTTTGCTCTACACAAATTTCTAAGTTATTATAGACCAATCAAGTTATTTTTTTTTCTTTAAAATGAGAAAAAATTTCTGACAAATGTATTAAATGAACTCAAATTTATAAAAAATTACATAAACCTAATGATACTCCCACTAAAATAGAACAAGTAAATGTTACGATATAAGAAATAATATATTTAAACATACTTAAAATAAAACTTTAACAAACTAAATATAACTTACCCTTTTACTAAGACAAATTACTGGCCAGAGAGAGCATCCAAGTGTGCAACAACAACAAACGCAACCACAAAACAACCATTTTACATTTACTGGAATAGTTTTCTTAAGAACATTGTTCACTCTCGAGACCGTTGCTTTATATTCCTCTGGTGCAACACGTGATACTAGACCATTAGGAAATTCGGTATCAAATCTATTACTCAAACCAAACCTGCAAGCAATGATAGAGAATCAAATAAAAAAAAAAAAATTACAATTTCAAAAAATCAAAGTTAATACTTCAAGATAGCAGCTCGTTTCCAGATCATATCAACCGTACCATAGATAGAATCCCAAAACTATTTGAATGTCCAATATTAATAAAAGAAGACTGATACTCAACCCTTGATTGAAAGTAAATTGCCCACCATTTTAGGATAAGAAATTCACTTTCATATAAAATCTATGTTTACAATACTGCTATAGTCTCCACCACGTTCACTTGTAATTTATAAATATCAACATAAACTGACTTTTTGTAATACTTATTATCAGCTGTTTATCAAAGTTTTACTTTTTTCTACATCTATACCCAGAGGTAAACACCCTGTCCATTTAAGTAATTTAGTAATTATTAAACAAATTTTAATAGCTCAAAGTTAAGGAAAATTGGCTTCCTGAACATATACAAAAATGGACATGGTGTTATTTACCTACACAGTATAGACATAGAAGTATAATATAAAAAAAAGTAAACATAAAGAAAAAGCAATTGTTCCTCAGTGAATTGTTTTCAGAGCAATTTAAGCAAAAATATGTCATTAAGACATATCTGTCATTGAATGGGAACATAAATGCCCATACTTTGCAAAATCAGTATTCTACAGTGTGATCAAAATAATCATGAAACAAGCCACAAAGTTGAAGGAGTGATTTGGAACTAATACCAAACTTAAATTGCTGATAATAAATTATCTATACCTAAATTACATGACATTAAGAATCTAATATCACTGCTTCATCTGTGATATCACTAATGTCTAAAAAAATCAAAACTACGATCTTAATAATATGACAAAATATCACACACTTCAGCACATCATTTAAAGGACACTGCATTAATTAGAAAAATATTATACCACAAATATCCTATGAAATTAAGGTTGATAAGAGATGTTTCTCAATTGATATGTTGATATTATCAAGTTTAAATGGAATAAAATAGTTGTTATAATTATTTAATACTTAAGAGGTATCACAGCTCAAACGACAATATACATCAGTTATACACACATTACTAAAATTAAATAATTAGTTGTTTGTACAGCGAATAAAATGTGATAACTTTTGTACTCTTGATACACACAAGATTTGACAGCTACACACAACTAATCGACAGCTGAATATCACCTTTTAAATGTTATTTAAATTATAATATACACACTTACATACAGATTAGATGACAATTATTAAAGTCACATGTAAAAACTTACACAGTCATGTTACCAGTCCCTCTAACAACTACAGGATCTGCCACTAAAGAAACAATATTGTCATCAACAACATTTTCATCTGTCTCCTCTTCTTCTTCATAAATCGCGTCAAAATCGGCCATTTGTTAGGCTGTCACCAGAACATGAATCAAATTAAACTGAGAAACTCATTACAATTAAAAGGTAATAAACAAAGCGAGTGGAAGGATTTCAGAACAGTCAAGAGAACAGTGAAAGTAGTCACTTAATTCATAACAAAAGGGAAAAGAGAAAGAAACAAGCATAAACTTATACTCAATTTGTCTCATAAAAAATGAATAAGAATCTTAAAATAAAAGAATAATTGAAAGAATCCACATAATCAACAGTATTCACATTTATATTTAAATTTATGATTAACTTCAGAAGGCAGTAAAATTGATCGGAAGGGTAGCCTTCGAGGAAATGAGAGCAATCAGCTGTAGTTGAAGGTACAGGTTATGAATGTTGGATCTGATTAATTAATTTGTTATTGGGTATTCCCTGAGTCATAATTTTAATTTTTTTTTTGTTGGAATGTGATCTCCCACTCATCACCAACCAGTATTCAAGGCATATATTCCTATTTCACATCGTTTAACCAATCATCATTCCAAAATGAATGGCATTAAGATGCAAGAAGAAATGAACAACATTCCATTAGCTGATGATGACCCACAAGGTAATTTATGGCGTTATAGTTAATTTAATATGTTTTTTAATTGTTATTTAAGTTCTAAAACCTCTTTAGTTCACTTTTTATAGCAATCACATTTTTTTGCTTTGATTTGTTTGGAATTTTAAGTAGTAGAAAGTTTATGTCACTTATCTTATCAAGTGAATTAGTTCTTCTGAAAATTAACATTATAGAAAACAATAATTTTACATTTGAAATAGATCAATTATTGGTAAAGTATGTTAAATCAGTTTTTTTTTATCAATATATACAATTTAGTTTATTTAACTGAAATGTATGTATATACAAGTTTTAATAATTAAATATAGCTTTTTTTTATGTTCACATTAATAAAACTGAATTACAAGCTACCTGTAATTTACTTTTATCTTAATTTGTTTATGTTGTCAATCCCTGATAGCACTTCTGGGACCTGTTTCTTAGTGTGTACCTTTTTTGGAAATCAATTACTCATCACTTAAAGAGGGAAATTTTCATCCCCACTACCTTCACTTATTCTTATTAATGATATAAATAATAGTGCACACTAATTTAAACTTAAAGTCTAGGTTATATTAGGTGCCAAATATTTAAATGGTCATTATCCTAGTAAACACAATTTTTATGTTTCCAACTGATATCAGTCATGATTACTTGTATTATTTTTTCCAATTATTAAGCAAAATATCTATGAATTAGAGTAATTATGAAGCTGAGAAATCAATTGAAATAATAGTGATTAAATTAAGAAAATAAACGAAAAGTAAAGACTTGCTTAGTAATGCACCAACAGAAATGAATGAATAAAATGAATTGGATTAAAGGTGAATAATATACAAAATATGAATACTCAATTTATTTTAATTGGCTTGTTTGTTATAGGGAAATCAACAAGTGTTTTTTGATTTGTTGTTGGTTGGTAATTCGATAATTGTTCCTTTATCATTGTTATAATTGTTACTAAAATCTTTACTTATTATTTATTTTCTGTTCATTTATGAGTATAATGCATATTTGTTTAAATAAACTTGTATGTATCAAAGTTCCTGCAACCATAAAGTTGGTAAATACTGTTATCTCTAGCCTGTCATTTGAATCTGGGAAAAGAAAAACTATTTGGTGTTATTGGTCATACTCAGCTGTTTGGCATTCCATATGATTGTACAGTGTGACCAATATATGTTTTACTCACTCACCATCTATGCAGAGCTCTTGTGAAGTAATGCCCTTCTGACTTGTTGATTATAACTTTTGATGCTACTGTACAAATGTTCAATTTGACCAATGGGCTAAGATTTCATGATCAGGCTATAAATGGGATGACTATTAACTCCTAAATGATCCTTATCGGTTAAAATCAGGGTCTTAGTCTTGATTAGCTTTAATTACATTGCTGCTTTCGATTTCTGCTCTCTCTTTAAAGGGATAAACGAATACCCACTGGTCCTTTTCTCTTCAGATCAGAGCCTTACTAGCTAGGTGGTTACCTCTGTCTACTTTCAGATACACTCGGTCATTCTCGGATTCCATTTTAAATATCATCATGAGATTTTGTGCCACTCATCAAATTGTAGCAATAATTATACACAAGTACCTCAATTTTTGTTCATAAAGTATATTTAAAAAATTAACAATTTCAAAAAGGTACTTATTTAATAGCGGGTAGCGTCCGACTGCTATCTGCCAATGTTTATAACCGTAACACAGATAAGCTCTTCGTATTCATATTTAGCAGTTCATATACAGTCTAATATCATCTTGCAGTGACAAGTCAAAAAAAAAAAAAAAAAAAAAAAAACTGTACCACTACAACCCATGGAGGGTCTTGGGTTCAGTACTAATTAGGGAAAGCACTGCTTCTTGGTCTATGCTTGAGTAAGTAGGTGATTTGACCGAGATCACTCTCAACCGCCAGGTTTTTCCCCTTCACTAATTATTTTAATAAAGGTTACCCACTTTATAGAGGCTGGGTATGCCCCAAGAGGAAACAGAATAAATATTTTTTCTGTTATGGGATCTTGGACCTTAAGCATTGGAAGCTCAGTATTGTCAAGTCCAAATAAAAAAATCACTGTTACGCCAGTCTAATTTTTATAATTAATTATTATTCCAGTTATCATCACTGAAGAAGGAGATGTTACAGAAATGTCTCAGGCCTCTGATCCAATGGTGCATGGACGCAGTATGGACTCTATTCCTTCTACATTTACAAATGGAAGTAGTAGTCCTGGACCAAATAGTAAGTTTTCACATTTATTTTTTATAAATTTCCGATCACAAATTTTTTAAATAACTAATATTATATTTTAGTACCTTATACCCAGACGATGATACAGTAAATTTCAATTCATTCTGTGTTTAAAAATAATATATTTTTAAAAGAGTAGAAAATTTAAAAACATTTATGAAAACTAAGATTAAAACAATATATTATTATTCTAATTATCAATATTTTCTTACAGGCTTGGATCCAGACATAAGCCCGGACGAACAAGAAGAAAAGGCGAGATTGATTTCCCAAGTATTGGAGTTACAAAATACATTAGATGGTAATGCAACTATAATAATAGTAACAAGCTATAATTATCATATTTAATTTTTGTTTAGTATAAATCTAACTTAATTTCATTGTATGTTTTTTTTTTTCTTTTATTTTGAACCGAAACTGTTACTGAAACTTGGTTATTTAGACTCAGGAGTTCTTAAAACATGTATTAAGATAATTTATCTGATTATTTATTAAATATAAATAATATGTAGGTTAGTGAAAGTAATAAATAAGATTTTTTTAAAATAATAACATTGGTGTGGTACAAGGAAAAAGTGACCTTTGATTATAGGTTGTTTCTTTAGTTAATTATTAAAGTCTTTCATTGTTTATATTGATCCATTTTTTTATTACTACCAACAATTAGAGACAATTAATTTTTGTTTAAATAAATCAAATCAAAGGTACTTTAAAGGAAGAAATTTTGAAAATTCGGCATTTAAATCATGTAAGAATATTTCAATAATATAAGGATAAATAGGTCTATTATTGAAGAATGCTTACTTTTACACTGATATAATGAATTCAATCAAAATCATTGGACCCTTTATTGAAAAAAATTTATAAAATCGATGATATTAAGTGCCACTTACTTCTGGTCCATCAATTTGACCAAAAAAAGTTGCTGTAACATCCCAGGCATATATATACCTTAAATATTAAATTTCTTATAAATTTTTGTTTTTGAGCTAGGCTATTCACTCACATACAGACTATTTTGAGGAACTTGGTTATATGGAATCAGGGGACCTCAAAACGTGCATTTCCAAGTTGAATTTGAAAAGTTGGATTTGGAAATATTTGATTAGCATTTAAGTCCTTTTGGTTTTTCAGGGGAATAAAACTCAATGTATTATAGAAATAAAATTTATTTTAATCTACAATATATTGACCATTATTTAGTATTACTTTTTCCCATCGTTCCACTAATTGTATAATGCCATTTTCATAGAATGTCTGGAGTTTATTGTTAAAAAACTGATCCAAGTAGTTTTTGATCTCCTTTTTCTTTTTGAAATTTCTTCCCGTCCATGGAGTTCTACAGAGACCGGAGTAAGTGGTAATCACTTAGAATTAGGTATGGTGAATAGGGAGGGTGGGGCAAAAGGTCCCATCTGAGGCTCAACAATTTATTGTGAGTGACCAATGAGGTGTGGGGCCTAGAGTTGTCTTGGTGGAACACAACACCCTTCCGATCATTCACAACTTTTCAGAATGTTCTCCAAATTCGATGTTACTATACCTGTTGGAAAGCTGAATTATTGCTCTTCAAAACAGTATGAATGCTTTTTTTATTTAATGCCCACATGAGGAATAAATAAACAAAAACTCCTTGTAGGTTTTTATTTTCATTTGTAGTTTGTTTACGAAGGTCCTGTTGATGTCATTTTGTGTAGTTTATGTGGCCCTAAATTCCTGCTAAATTTCTTGTAGATAGCTAAAGTCGTATTGAAGCTATAACATTTTTTGTGATTTTCGAACAAAAATCATGTGAGGGACCCAAACATTAAGCCTGGAAACATAGCCGAGCTTGTTCAAATGGTTTTCTATGCCTGTGTGCGACACATTTAGAGCCATAGCGATCTCTCGCACTGACTGGGTGGGATTTTGATCAACAATGGCCTTAAGATTGCTCTTTTCCATTTCATGTGGGCGACCAGGTCGTTGAGCATCATTGATGTCAAAATTTCCTGAATGAAATTTGGCAAACCAATTTTGACAGGTGCATTCGGTTAAAGCATCATCCCCATAAACACTGCTAATTTTTCTATGAGCTTCTGCAGCACGCTTACCTTTTTTAAAATAATACAACAAAATGAATGATATTTTCTTCCATATTCACAGTACAACAGCAAACAGAATACTAAACTAGTTTTAACAAGAGCTAACAGATATAGTTGTTGACATATTACAAACAGGATAAACAATCCACCTTAGGGATTAATTCATCTGATAAGAAGTGTATCATAGTGACATAAAAATAAACAGAAAAACCGAAAGAACTGATTTGCCAACCCAATATATAAATAAGTGGAAGTAAAAATTAAAAAAAAATTCTTTTCATAATCATAACAAAATTGTTTGATTGCTGTTTAGTGCATGGCATGGAAGCCAGCGGAAGGATTATCTTTTTATTTGACACAAAATTTAGTTTTAAATAGTAATATGAGTGTTTTTTTTTTTTTCAGATCTGTCCCAGAGGGTTGACAGTGTGAAAGAAGAAAATTTAAAGTTACGTTCTGAGAATCAGGTTCTCGGGCAGTACATTCAAAACTTGATGTCAGCATCGAGCGTTTTCCAGTCAACATCACCCAAGACCAAAAATAAATAATTAAGCTGCACGGAGCTCACTACACCCATATGAGATATTTAGTATTTAAAAGCATTCAGCACAATCTATAGTGTGCAATAACACGTCGTCTATTCTTGGTTTTTTAACGTAATCCAGAATGGAGCAGTCAGAAGAGTACTGCCTTGTCGCCATCAATTCAATTTTTGATCTGTGAGTTGCTAATAATTTAGAATAATTGTTGTCCATATGTATGTTTAATTCTTGAAACTTGTTATGGTTGATATATGAATATTGTAAGAGAATATAATTTTTCCAATTATCTTGAAATTATTTGTTTTTGCAAAATTAATTTATTATATTCAAAACTGCCTGCAAGCTTTTGTGATGAACACTTTTCAAGCTTGTTTAAATTATCAGACATCATCTTCAATACCACTGAGAGCAGTAAGAATACTAAGACCAATTACTGTAAGGTATCGTTGTGAGTCAAAATAGATCTTTCCACTCTGAAAAGAGTTAATGAAACATTTTTCTTAAAAATTCTGTGCTTTTAGGATCTATTTGTATTTCTGTTGTGGAATGATATATTTTATGAAAACTAGATTTCTTGCAGTTCTAGCTTTCTTCAATTGTTATATATATTTTTTATGATTATGTTTTTGTATATTTAAGTTTTTTTTTTTATAAATCTTATCTTTACAAAGTTTATTTATGCCAAAGAAATTGTATTTTATTTCTGATATTTTGGAATTATAACTTTTTATAAATGTGTATTGTTATATTTATTTATTCATTATAGAAATTAATTTTATTATTATTTTTTTGTAAATATGTTTTATATAAGTTATATTTTGTGAATTTGGACCAAACGCTTACCCATCTAAATCAAATACATTTTTTTCAATAACCTTTATGTTTTTTTTATATTGATTGATTTTCCCAACATAATTAAGTTTATAAATTAAATTTTAATTTCTTAAATCGGAGCTATGCATCACTCTAAATGAAATGTAAAAGAACCTTCAGTGTGAAATCGTCTGTAGATTATGTGGAGTGATGCGGACTTTATTAACCTTAACTATATTAAACTAAATTTACCAATGTTAAAATTCAATCATTCCAACCCACTGTTAATGTAGAAAATGAGGAATGATGGTTTGGACAGTTTTTAGGCTGTGCTATAATAACAATGACTATAAAAATTGTTGGTCAGTAAATACAGTATCATTAAGATTTAGGATATATATTGTATGAAATATGTTACCCATGTATTTATATGAATAACTTATATTTTTTATTTATTTTTCATTGTTTTTTCTGTTATAGATCTTTTGACCCTGGAAGCCAGGCCCCAAAAATCGATCTGATCATAGGCGAAGGTTTGATTGTAAATTACGAAAGTCTATGTTGTTCTGAGTAAAAAGAACCTGGTCTGCCCTTCCACAGCCACTGATTTAAAGAATATTAGGCCAGTGATTTGAAGATCGAAATGAGAAATCCATTGCGAAAAATGTGAGAAAAGTTTTAATTTTTTTAACTTGTATATATGGGTTTAGACATGTAAAAAACAAAATTGCTAACGCGGGCTACCAGGAGAAAACTTTTTACAGCCAAAAAAAGTCAGATTTTTTTGTTTTTTCACCTATAACTTCTAAAGGATGTATCAAAGCGAAAAATGTAATCTTTAATAAATTCAAGAACGTTCAATTGTGCGTCGAACAAGTAAGTAAACATTATGATGCTCTACAACTTTGATTCTATGGGTTTTTCCTTTTAAGGAACTCTTTTCCATGTTACTGGGCCATTTATAGTAATTTTTCTCAGTTTCTGACAAATTTGGTAAAAATCAGCGTTGGTTGACTGTGGTTTTATATCTTACCAGGTAACCAAATTATAAAGTGTATGTACTCGTTCGACACAAAATTTAATGTTCTTTAATTTATTAAAGATTAGATTTTTCATGCATTCTTTAAAAGTTGTAGATGAAAAAACAAAAAAATTTTGAAAAAGTCTGACTTTTTTTGGCTGTGAAAAGTTTTCCCTTGGTAGCCCACATTAGCAATTTTGTTTTATACTTGCCTAAACCCATATATACAAGTCAAAAAAATAAAAACAATTTCTCACATTTTTCGCAATGGATTTCCTGTTTCGATCCTCAAATTACTGGCCTAATATTCTTTAAATCAGCCGCCATTTTTGTAAGCAGTGGCTCTGGAACGGCAGACCAAGTATTTTTTTACTCAGAATAACATACACTTTCGTAATTTATAATCAAACCTTCGCCTGCGGTCAGGTTGATTTTTAGACCGTGGCGCAGGACTATTATGGCTCCTCCATTTTTTTCTAGTTACTGCAGCATCTTTGATTCAATTTCTTCATCTGGTTTCTGACCTTCCGCTTGGTTTCTAACCTACTATTGAGGCATTCATTGTTGTGTGAAGGCTTCCTGGTTTCAATATCTTTGAAAGAGAGAATGAAGCTCTGTTTACGCTGGAGTAGTACTTATATTTTTGACCTGAATATTAGTCATACTAATACTAGGTTATTGTAGAGCCAAGGTATTTGATTTTATATACTCTCAGAAACAATTTTCTTTCTAAGTAGATCCTTTTGTTGGGCCGGAATTTTTTGGCTTTTAGGATTCATTCTAGTGTGCACCCTTCCATTTTCATGTGATATTCTTATCATCTTCTCCAGTGCTAAGTTAAACGTTTAGATGATTACGTCACTCTGCTGGAAAAGCCAGTTTGAACTCAACATTTATGATTGTTTGTACATACCTTTGTCAATTTCGCAAACTTCCTAATTCTACAATTTTTTTTTACTATTAATTATGTTGAAATACACATTGGGAGAAAACAATAATTTTTCTGCTGGGATGAAGGAAAATCTGACCAGGTTACATTTCCTATGAAGAAACTATATTCAACAAAGAAAATGTAAATAGTGGGAAAAGTAAAATAATAATCTCTAATTTCGGCAACGAAAACTTGCAGATATACAAACAAACTGAACTTTAACACCTGCTACAAAATGACATACATACCTGAACTTACAAACAAAATTAAGGACATGTTTAAAAATTATGACATACCAGAAATCAAACCGGACTTGGTTATTTGGACTGAGGGGACCTCAAAACGTGTATTTCTGTTGAGAACTCAGATTCAAAAATTTTCACGATCGCAATACTTACCCTTACTATATATTACATTAAGTGAAAGTAAAAACTGGGCAGGTACATTATCGATACAAAAGACAATTAAACTGTCAAAATTGTCCCAAAATTTTTTTATTTTTATTTTATTTTAATGAAATTTACAACTGTATTACATTAAAAATACAACAAGTAAATGTGACATTGGTAACATGACATGTAAAACATGAAGAGAAACTACCCATTGGTAGAACTCAAATTAAAGTTCTATATTAGAAGATCCCAAGGCCATCTTCTTTTCAGACGCCTCTGAGGGTTATCAGAGATCGAGAAGGAAGCAAGGTTTTAAACAAGAGGGTTCGGATGGTTCTGCAGTTTGTTATGGAAGGATAGGTATCTGGATTGGGCCAAATCGGAAACATATGGAACATTAAGTTCTTTATGGATGATTTTGTTTGTGATAAAGTAAGGAGCGTTGAGAATACCCCAAAATTTACATTGGAGAAACATCCAAACACTTAAGGACCAGAATTTTATAGCACATTACCAACTATAAAAAACGTAAACGCCACAGCTTTTACAACATAAATTATGCCGTAACATAAAATTACAACACAAATTTAATTTCAATAAACCACATATATTAGGCACAGAATTAAAAAAACAATAATAGAAAATTACTCAAAGCTATCCACATCACAAAAAAAAAAAAGAACAACAGTAAATTACAAAACAGACACCAAACATTTGGGAACACACTATGCGGATATTTTAAATAAAATTAAAATATTGTAAAACTGGAATGCAGCTACATAACAAATTGTCATTGCATAACAACAGTAAAAGAGTAAATAATCATATCCAAAGTCAATAGTCAACCAATTATTGGTCCTACGAACGTTGATGCTCCAAATAATATATTTTTATTATATTTATTACAAATCATGACAGAGGAGCACATCAGACTTTAGATAATTATACATTTTATGTAACAACACAACTTTAGCATGTAATGTAACATGCATTCTTTTAATTACCTGTTTTCTAGTCATAAATCGCTATGAAAGTATGGGATTTTAAGTTTTGAAGATGGGAATAATTTTCCCGAAACATCAACTTAATATGCATATCAATAAATAAACCAATTGTTTGTGTAACTGGAATTTTTCGTTGCTGAAATTAGAGAATATTATACAGCTTTCTAGCAAAAAAGAAGTAAAATAATAAATGTTTTCAATTTTTGGAAATTTTCATTTGGTTTGAGCTTTCCCCCAACTTATGGTATAAAGCTCACTTTCTCCCTTGACATAATTAATAAATGAAATAGTATAGCATTAATTCTTGAAGGAAGTTAGTCGACTGTTCTACATATCATGGGTGATAAATATTCAGAACGCAGTCTTTTTAAAATTTTTATTATTTATGCCAACGTTTCAACCCAAACATGTGGGTCATCTTCAGTGCTCAAACCACACCCTTTAGATGAACTACATGTTTGGGTTGAAACGTTGGCATAAATAATAAAAAATTTAAAAAGACTGCGTCCTGAATATTTATCACCCATGATATAGCATTAATTGTGCATAAATGTTTATATGTATATAATTCCCGATGAAATCATACTTAAAGATAAGCAATTATCATGAAATGAAAAGCAAGAGGTATTTCTGTTTGATAGAGATAAATTATCATAACATTTTCAAAATTTTACAAACAAAAAATTTTTAAAAAAGTTCAAGATCACACTATATTGCATTTTATGGATAGTGATTAATGTATTTGAAATGTACTTTTTATTACCATTTCAGCTTAATTATGTTTTCTTTTAATTAAAAATGCGACTTGAATATCATAAAATCAAAATTGTATTTCATTATGATAATTTACCTCTGACACTCTGATTTAAGAAAATGAAAACATTTTTTCTAGAATCTTTATTAAAAGTTGTTTCTTTGTAAAAATAACTATTTCTTTGGATAATTATAATATAAATTATTTCGATAAATAAACTATTATAACAACAACTGTTTTCAGTAAAGTAAACAAATAAAAATACTGCTTTGGCATATTTTTTGTACAACCACAGGAATAACTATTAGTTCTAATAATAGGGTGTATAAAAACAAAATAAATAAAAAAATTGCCATTTTCTATGTTTGATGATAAGGATTAAAGAAGGCTTTTTTTTTTTTTTAAGATTTCCAAATATTAAAAACAAAATTACAGCCGATGAAGCAACACCAAAAATTATTCAAACTGAAGACGATCTGTCCTTGAGGATCGTACAATGTAGTATTGGTTTGAAAAATTCAGTTCATACGTCCATGAAATGAAAAGAATGATTGGAATGATCTTCAATGGATATTGATTGATGTTCCTGAAGGATGTTCTATGTTCTCTAAACATTAACGCAAACCTTAAACAAGAATAATGCAAAATTAACGTAGCCTTGGTTAACTAGAATGATGTAAGAATAACACTAGTTATACAATCCCAGTCAGACCAAAATAAGGTTAAAAAATCTTCTAGATTATAATTAATTTTGTTCCTTGGCCCAGTTTCTTCATAAGAAAAATTTAATAAAATTGCGCTGCAAGAGTTATTTGATAGCCGTCCCAAGGAATCCAACAACTAAGTGAAAAATAGTTGATAAAATTGTGTAACATTAAACTATCTTTTGAATATTACTTTTTTTTTCTATTAAAGAAATAAAAATATAAATTTTTTGTTGAAATGTCACCTTTTTTTTTTTTTTATACACCCTATTAGTTTTATAAAATTACATTCTGGCCTAACACTAAAAATTATAAATTCAAATTCTTAAATTAGGGTTTATCTCTTCTTATTCACTTTAATAGACTTCATATTCTGTTTTAATATCTGTTAATAATAGTGAAAGTATTTTTCAATTGAATTATTTATTTCCAAAGTGAACCCCTAAAATTTTCAGGAAACGCAAAAATTATATTTTTTACAACAATTATATCAAAACCAATATTTTTAAAAATAATAAATTAAGATATCTTTTTAGAGAAAGGAGATGGTCCGGGGAGCTGTCATAAAAAGACTAAAATAGGGAAAAACTATTTTATTTCAAGCTGATATTTCAACCCGACTTTGCAGGTCTTCTTCAGGATTAGAACGAAAACGATATAAATAGTTGTGGGTATAACATAATATTTAGTTTAAAATTATAAACAATGTGAATAAACTTATTAAAATAATAAACAGTGTGAATATAAAGTACATAGAAATATTAAGAACAATAAACTGAGTAAACGAAGTAAAAAGATCCTAAACTGAAGTAAATAAATAATAACAATTGTTGTAGATGGGAAAAAATTGAATGTAATAAGGAGGATGGATAATATATGTAATTATGAAATACGTATATTACAAATCATAAGGAAAGATTGAAAGACCTCCTTATTACACTCAATTTTTCCCCCATCTACAACAATTGTTATCATTTTTTTACTTCAGTTTAGGATCTTTTTAATTAGTTATACTTCGTTTACTCTGTTTATACACATTGTTTACAATTTTTATCTAAATATTATGTAACTTCCACAATTTTCTACTATATCCTTTTGTATCTTATTCGTTCTAGACCTGCAAAGTCTGGTTGAAATATCGGCATGAAATAAAATATTTTTTTTTACTATTTTAGTATTCCATCTTCTGCCTCTAAAATGCGCAATGGTCAAAAGTCATGTATTCAATCAGATATTCTTTATTTGTTAAACATATTTCCAAAAATCACATATGATAATTCAGTTTACAATGACCTGTATATGCTGCTGTAATTTTCTTCAGTGAGCTCCTGTTCAAATTAATTAGTAAGTTAGTTTTTTTTGGCAGATTCCTTGCAGAAACAGTCTAGAGTGGGTCTGCTTTTTCAATAACCAGTTCCTTTCGTTTTCAACACCATATATCTCCCCGATTCTGTTTGTTGTCAGACACTGACTAATACCACAGATGGGTTCCGAAGCTATGGGTGTCGTTTGAGAGCCTTGTCTGGCTAGTTCATCAGCCATTTCATTACCATAAATTCCCGAGTGACCCGGAACCCATTCAATGTATACCTTATTAAGTCTAGATAATTCGTTGAGAATTCTAACACAATCCCCAACTACCATAACTACAAGAAAAGGTTGATTGGGATTTATCTTTTTGTTTAAAATTCTTGCCCATACTTTCTTACTCCTCGGAGTCATCTAAACCTCCGAGACCAATGGGCAAATCTAGACAATGGAAATGAGATAACTGAGAAAAGTCGAAGGCAAGACAAGGGGAGATTGAGTCCAAAACACAACTATAAGGTCCAACCTCAAGGTACAGCCGATAGAAACCACTCTTAAGGAGAATAAATTAAGATGATTTGGGCAACTCCTTACCATGAGTATGGAAAGAACAGCCAGGATATCTTATAAAACATGAGTGGAGTGAAGAAGACTGAGAGGAAGATCACGGATCACCTAGATGGAAGGTGTGCGAGAGGGGCACTTTGTCCAAGCTCTATATAGTGCATCTCCACACTGTACAGCAGTAGAGGGGGGGATTGAATTATGAAGATGATGATTACAAAAATGCTACAATAAAATAAATTTAGAATCCTTTTTAATTAAGCATCGTCAGTCACTTTTAGTTCAACAACAAGTATTATTTATAAATCATATGTTATAAAAGAATAAATGTTTAATTGAAAATAACAAATATTCTAAAAATTTAATTTGACAATATTAATTTTAAAGAGGTCAAAAGTTTCTCTTTGGCTGTAATATTTTGTTAACTAAAACTAAACATTTAAATATTCTTTGTCCAAGCAAACTCGCAAATATATGAGTAACGCATACATCTTAATTTTAAGTTCATTTTTTTTTTTTAATTTAACAATCTCAATAAAATGATTGAGATTATAACCTCATTATTACAATCGTAATAATTTATTAAATCCTATATATATATTTGACAAATCTATAACAGTTCTAAATAAGTGACAAAAAAGTAACTGGCGATATTAAGTAAAAAAAAAACTAAAAACTTATTTTTATTTTCATTAAAATAAAAATAATTTCACCATCTAATTCATCATTAAGGAATAAACACATCTCGATTTCCAAAAAAATCAACTAGGGTTCACTTTGGAAATGACTCAATAATTAAACATAGAATTATAATGATTTGTATGTTTAGGCTGAAAAAGAAAAAAGAATAGAATTAAATATTTTTAGATTACAATCTATTTGAACTTATTGTTTCTTTTATAGGTACTATTGATTCAAAAATAGACCATAGACTTTTTTCATATTTAATAATTTTCTACTGAGCTTTGCTAAAAGTTAATCAATAATTCAAAAAGGCTACTATTATACTCTGAAAAAAAAAATCTAAAGTTTCTCAACTCTATTTCAGTCTCGTAATAAAAATACCTGGAGGGAAAAAAAAACTGTCAAATAAAAACAAATTTTAAAAAATTAGAAAACGTTTAAAAATTCTTAACAACCATTAATTACCAATTATGATGAGAACTAATAAAGTCAATGGTCTCTAAGAAACATACAATGAATAAAAACAAATCTAATCACGGTAAATGTGTTTCATATGAATTATAATACACACATAATTCATATTTTTAAAAGTAATTAAAATCTAATGGAACATAATACATTTGTTATAATGTTAAAATAAAATTATCTTGCAATAGGACTAGTACTTTATAAAAATATAATACTTTTTAATACTTAAGATTAACATATGTGTGTTAAATGCAATTTATTAAATAATTATCCATTTGGTAATTAAAGTCACTCTATTCTAATGGGAAGAAACTTGATTGCATTTTGGCCCAGAGCTGTACGATGGGCCGGTTTAGGTTTACCATTTTTCTTGATGCCAACATACCAATTTTTATCTGCATATTTTTTAGAAAGGTACGTATTGTACTGGCCTAAAGTTGATTCTTTGAATATTGTAGCCTCATCTCGAGGATTCTCCTGTAAATAATTATTTTCGTTAACTATTAATTTGAAAAATTATGTTTAAATGACATTTTATTAAAAAACATGTCCATATCTCTGCCTATAATTTCGTGTATATTAATAAATCTACTCATTACACCTTATTTTCGTAATTTGAACTTTTTAATTCTTTTCTATGTGGTCAGTATGTTTTGATAAATTTTACCGTATATTAATTTTTCTATTTACGTCTATTATTTTCTTTATACCTAGTCCTGTCATAAATATTGTTACAAGGAAATATATACAAATTTCAACAGAAAAATTAATTTTTTCAAAAACTTTAATAGAAAATAAAATGTATATCTAAAAAGAGTAAACCATAAAAGAAATTACTCAAAATGTTCCCCTTTTGCCTTGACACAGGTATTTAATCTCCATGGCCAGTCATCAATAGCAGCACATAGCACTTCTTGAGGAAAGCGCTCAACTGCTTGGTCCAAGTTAGGGTGAGCTCTGTGGCAAGTCATCCTCTCCAGTTTGGACCAAAGCTGATAATCTATTGAGTTGAGATCAGGGCTTCCTGAGGGCCAATCCGAGGCAGAGATGAACTCTGGGATGTTCTTTTGCAGCCACTGCTGAGTTGACCTGGCCTTGTGAGCTGGAGCGGAATCCTGCTAGAAATCCCAATGACTTCCAGCAAACAGAGTATCATTTAGAGGTTTGACAACAGGTTCCAAAATATCATCCTGATAGTTTTTAGCAGATGTTTTAACTCTGTTTTCACAAAAATGGAGCTTTGTGGTGCCATCAAAGCAAACTCCCCACCAAACCATCACTGAGGAAGGGTGATGACCTCTTTCCATTCTTCCAATGACTTCCTGGGCTTCTTTAGAGCTGTGTGTGTACACAGCTACATATTGGCAGTTAAATTTTTCTTTAATTGTAAAAATTTTCTCATTGCTAAACAAAATCTTTCGATGAAGACGATTGGAATGGGGTTTGGTCAGCTATTTTTAGTGAAGTGGTTAGCCTTTGTCCTGTCATTCTTCGAAACGCAGCCATCCTAAGATCACTTTTTATTTTGCGAGACAGAGATTCCTATTTCCTGATATATGATTTGTTTTTTTCGAATGGAATTTCTTCTGATTCGAGCAGCCACTGCTGTCATTGCATTTGCCGTTATCACAGTGCAGAGACCGCCTGGTTGAATTCTGTCACATACAGATAAGGTGTTAACAATCTTCAAAAATTTCAAGTGTTAAAAATCTCTTATCTACATTTACCAACTTTGTGTAAGGCGATCACAGCTATTCGGTTTTCTTTATCAACCCACTCCATCTTAACTGAACGAAAGAAAAATACAAACTAATTGGGATTATTACCTCGCGCGGGCTCATTACCGCGTATGGGGAGCGTCCCACGGGTGGCGGATGTGGGGATGGTCGGTGGAAATTCCTTGGAAGTTCCTCCCGGCTAAGTCCGATGGACTCGCTGGCCAACAATGAGAGGGGCCCTCCAGACTTGCTGGAGGGAGGGGACCTCCAGACTTGCTGGAGGTAGGGGCCCACCAGACTTGCTGGAGGGTGTGGCGTAGGATTGAACGCCCTACTCACATATCTTTAGTTCACCAAACACCACAAAAAGTCATGGATCTCCCTAAGGTAAAACGCTCATTATCCGGAGGTAAACTAGTCCCCCGTTCGGGTCTCCGGGTGGGGACTGCTTTAGGGGATTCATGGTGCAAGTTGAAATATAGGGATTTAAATATTGGTACGTGGAACGTAAGGAGTTTAAACACAGCAGGGGGGCTAAAATCGGTCGCGAATGAGGTAAATGGGTACAATTTGGATGTCGTGGCTCTGCAAGAGGTTCGCTGGCCAGGGGAGGGCTCGATGAGGGAAGGAAAGTACACTATTTGGTACGGAGGAAGCGGGAATCATTGTTTAGGTACCGGGTTTCTAATTAGGAGTAGATTACTATCCGCTTTGAGCGACGTACAATTCTTTAGTGATAGAATTTCGGTAGCTATATTTCAGGGACGTTGGTTTAAAATCGCATTAATAAACATACATTGTCCGACCGAAGACAGTGACGATGAAGTCAAAAGTGAATTTTACGATAAACTCGAATGGGTTTATGATAAACTACCGCGAAACTACATGAAAATAATTGTAGGTGACGCGAACGCAAAGGTAGGAAGGGAAGAAGTTTATATTCCGACGATTGGTAAAGAAAGTTTGCACGAATATAGTAATGATAATGGGATCCGTCTGATAAACTTTGCCATCTCGAAAAACCTGATAATTAAAAGTACGACGTTTAAACATAAGGATATTCATAAATATACTTGGACATCACCGGATTCGCAAACACGAAATCAAATAGATCATGTCTTGATACAACACAGCTGGCAAAGCAGTATAATCAATGTACGGTCTTATCGCGGAGCAGAATGTGGGTCGGATCATGAATTAGTAATCGCGAAACTTCGACAAAAACTTAATATAAAAAAGAGAAAAGAAAACCGTTTCGATTTTGAGGATTTTAATTTGGAAAAATTAAAAAATCCATCAATTAGAAACCAATTCGAGCTAGATGTTAAGAATAGGTTTGAAGCTTTAGAGCTTCCTGACGAGGACCTCGAGGATATTGACAAGTTATGGGTAGAGATCAGGGATAATATAAAAGCGGTCGGTAACTCATGCCTAGGAAAAAAGGAAAATAAGAATAACAAACCGTGGTTTGATGAAGATTGCTTAAACATGTGCGAAAAAAGAAAAACCGCTAAATTAAAAGCTCTAAATAATCCTAGCGAAGACAATCTGGAATACTTCCGAATCTCAAAGAACGAAACGACAAAATTGCTCAAAAATAAAAAAAGGGAGTAATGTTCCCCTTCCGGTATGTTATAAAATATTCACTTCAATCTTAACCAGTCGAATTACGGAATACGCCGAGGAAATTATCGGAGACTACCAATGCGGATTTAGACGGAATCGTTCGACTATTGATCAAATATTTTCTTTACGGCAAATATTAGAGAAAAAATTGGAGTACAAAGGTATTGTTCACCAGCTGTATATAGATTTTAAAAAGGCTTACGATTCTATTGACCGCCAGAAACTGTATAATATTCTAATTGAGCAGGGGATTCCAAAAAAACTAGTAAATATAGTCAGGATGTGCTTGACGGAGACACTCAATAAAGTTAGAATCGGGAATAATTTGTCCGAAAAATTTGAGGTTCGTTCGGGCTTAAAACAGGGGGATTCACTTTCGCCTGTCCTGTTCAATTTGGCATTAAAACATGCCATTAGGGAGGTAATGCGAACCGAGAAAGGGTTGGATCTGGGCGGGACAACATCCGTGCTGGGCTATGCTGATGATCTGGTACTGTTAAGCGAAGACGTTGAAACTATAAAACTAAATACGACAACGTTAATGAAAGCCGGGAAAGAACTAGGACTCGAAATAAACGTGGATAAAACAAAATATATGGTTAGCTGCAAAAATGGCGATACTACTGGTGACATCGTAGATAAGTTTAGGTATCTAGGTTCAACGATAACTAGAAAAAACGAAATTGAAGAAGAGATTAAAGTTAGACTGAAGGCGGGAAATGCTTGTTATTTTTCTGTGACAAAACTACTTAGTTCGCGCCTCTTGTCCCGGAACTTAAAAATTAGAATCTATAAAACAATTATCTTGCCTACAGTTCTTTATGGATGCGAAACTTGGCCACTTACATTAAGGGATGAGCAGCGTCTTAAGGTTTTTGAAAATAAAGTATTGCGTAGAATATTCGGACCGAAGAAGGATGAGTTAACCGGAGAGTTCAGACGGCTACACAACGCCGAATTGCGTGAGCTGTATCCGGGTAATATAATTGATGTAATTTCATCGCGGCGAATCAAATGGGCTTGTAAAGTTGTTGGGCTTAGTAACGAGAGAATTCCTAAAAGGTTAATATTTGTTGTGCCGAATGGTAAGCGTCCGAGGGGTAGACCGAAGCGAAGGTGGGAAGATTGCATTAAAGCCGATCTGAAGGGACTGGGTTTGGACGGCGAACGGTGGAGGGAGGTGTGTAACAAGCGATTGGTGGTGTCGGCATCGAACCTTCGGGTTCGCTAAGCCTTATTATTATTATTATTATTATTATTATTATTATAATTGGGATTATTATCCTGACATGTAAAGAAAATAACCTGATAAAGATAAGGATTATCTAAATAATACCCAAGTATGTAAACAAAGTTCAACTTTTGTAACAGTATTTATGGCAGAACCAGTTATAACTTCATATTACTTTTCCCTGTTTTACATTTTATTTCAAGTCAATCTCACTTCCTTTTAGTATACTAACAATAAGACATCATATTTTAGCAACTACATCACCCATTTATTCTATGTCTAATACTTACGTTTTTATCTCATAATATTCCTTTACATTTCTTTGTTAATTCATTTTTCATTTCTTTTGTTACTGAATTTCATAATGTTTATGTCATTAGTCTCTAACTGTGTCACTGTTATTATTTTTTTCATAAGTTCCTAACTTTGTTAATATTATGTTATATAACCAAACTTTGCTTCCTCTAATTTCTATTCCTTTCTTTGTTATCGTTATTTTATATTCCCTTTATTTATATTTCATATTTCTACCTCTCCACTTATTTATTAATGTCATGTTTATTCTACCTATATGTTATAAGGCTCTACCTTTCACTGACATAATATTTTTTTTTTTTTTTGCGGTAAATAGTTTCTCATACCTATTGTTACCTTATCTTTTATTAGCGCTGATGAAGGCCTGAACTTTGGGCAGAAATGCCCGCAAAAATAAAAATTAATATCATTTATAAAAAAAAAAAAACCTGTACCAATACAACCCATGAAGGGTCTGGGGTTCAGTACTATTTAGGGAAAGCACTGTTTCTAGGTCTACGGTTGTGCAAGGAGGTGATTTGACCGAGATCACGCTCAACCGCCAGGTTTTCCCCCTAATTAATTATTTAATTAAGGGTACCCACTTTATAGAGGCTGGGTGTGCCCCAGGAGGGACTCCTGACCCAAGGTCGCTCCACGGCCAATGAAACAGATAAATAAATTATCTGCCATGAGCCGGGGTTCGAACTCGGGACCTTTGCATTGGAAGCTCAGTGCCCTACCACTGAGCTACCCCGCTCCCCCTAATATCATTTATATATTATTATCTTTTATTTTAACTGAACACCCTAACTAATTTCTCATCAATTATTAAACAAACATTAATTTTTTTAGTAAAACACATTTCCAGAAGAGAGAGACCTATTGTCCATATATAAAAAAAAAAAAAAAAACCTGTAGCACTACAACCCATGAAGGGTCTAGGGTTCAGTACTATTTAGGGAGATTACTGTTTTTTGGTCTACAGTTGTGCAAGGAGGTGATTTGACCGAGATCACGCTCAACCGCCAGGTTTTTCCCCTTAATCAATTATTTTAATTAAGCGTACCCTTTATAGAGGCTGGGTGTGCCCCAGGAGGTTCTACCTACATAGGGTTGCCCCACGGCCAATGGAACAGAATAAATAACTTTTCTGCCATGAGCCGGGATTCGAACCTAGGACCTTTAGCATTAGCGGCTTAGTACATTACCACTGAACTACCCCACTATTTTTCATATGAGATAGAAAAATAGTTAATAAAACAACATTGCATGGCTGCTGACTGTGTTGAGTTGCTAAGTAACACAGCATACTCATCAATCAAAAGATAATACTGTAAAAAAAAATATAAGAAAGAGTTGGGTCGGACCATTGGAATACGTATCAGATATGTCAAGAACAGTTTATAGAGTCGTAGGCAAACAACCTTCAGACTCATTTAATAAATAATTCCCACAAGGACATCACAATTTAGCAAATAGGTTAGGTTAGATTCAATTTATTATTTCAGGAAATGTTTCAATATTTTATTATTGATAGAGAAAATCATTATATCTTGTAATGAAGGTAACAGAACAAAGAAAGTATATCCTAGAAGTATTTTTCTTTATTTATCGATATTTTAAACAAATAACATGTAGAAAGTTCAATAAACAGCCTAGGAGAATTTGAAATTTTTTCATAGAATCGCTCATAAAGAAAACAAAACAAAAAAATCTTGATGCTGATATAAAAATTATATTTCAATAAAAATAGAAGAATTAAAATTATTTATTGGCTATATTAATTATATAATTAATTTATATATACTAGTAGACCCGTGCAAAAATTCGCACAGTATACACCCGTTTGTTAAAAACAAACAACTACAATTAACTATTGCAAATCTTTTTTCTTGTTTTTCCGTGATATGGGATTTATTGTAATGAACATAATTGCACAAAAACACATTTTATTTATAAAAATAAAAATCCTAATGTTTCCATTTTTATGAAAATAATTTAAGCAATCAGTAGGTTTCTTTATTTTAAACGTATATATTTAGTAAAAAACATTAAGTTTGTCACTGATGAATACATATTAATTCTTATGACAATGATCCTGGAGAAAAACACAGTGTTCATAACCACTATAAGTGAAAAATATTTTTAAAATGATTATTTAAATTTTTTTTTGATAAATAGAATGTGTTTTAGGGTAATTATGTTTATTACAATACATCCCATATTACGTAAAAACAAGAAATAAAATCTTTGTAATAATTAATTGTAGTCATTTTTGCAGAAAATAAGAATACTTTTTGTTGATTGGATAGAATTTCATTTCTTTAACTTGAGTTGAAGCTCAAAAATTTTCATAATAAACCTCAACTTAATTAATATGGACTCAAAGCTTATTAAATGAAAAAGTTTTTCTATAATGGGATACATGTAGTACAGCTAAAGGGTGATAAAAAAAATCACAAATAATTTATGAATTTATTTTTGAACGGATTATGACTGAGTTTAGCCGCTCAAAATTCCTCTTTAAATAATTTTAACAATGACAAACTCTACTTTCCTTTAAATTAAATTTTGTCTAGTTTACTATGGAGCAATGTTTAATTATTTAAATCAAATATTTTTTAAGTTATCGATTCCTATTCAACAAAAAACATGACTCTCTTAAAAAAAGACAAATTTTAAATTTCCTGCTTTTCCACTGGAAATTGGGTAATTGTTTATATGAAATTATTTGAAGATCTTGATGTCTATTATCAACCTTTTAAATATTTCCCTCTACTTACGTGACATCCTGTATATTACATGCTGAATACATTACTAACATATCTCAAAAATGCAATTTCAATTGTTTATGAATTTTTTTATTGAGTACACTTACAAAAGAATTTAAAAACCAATTGAAACTCATTATAAATATTTATGGTTTGGTTAGGGAACCATTAATTGGAAATTAGCTTTGAAAACAAAGTTTTATTGCAAATTACATTTCAAAGCCTTAAAATACCAATTTTTGAAGCCCGCATAGCTAATAGTATTGCTGCTAGGTATTTTACAGAAAGCATACCTAAGCACAGTAACACAATTGATTTTTTTTTCTCTGCTGCAGATAGAACATTTTGATAAATAAATATAAGAATAATAAATATGGCTTTCACAGAATTATCTTTTACTAGTGTTCGCCCAGTGGTCAAAATTCGAATTTCGATAAAAAATAAATTCAATAAATAAAGAGAAAATCAAGATTCAAAAATTCTCATTTATTAATATAAACAAAATTTTAATTTCAATTAAAAATTGAGCTTAAACTACTTAAAATAATTTATAAGTAATACAAAATATACTCATTCAAAATATTTAATTTAGGTGTGTTATTATAACAATAAATTAATGTTATGTTTAAGCAAGTAAAAAATAAATTTAAATTAGCAATTTCAACTGAGTTTAAATCCATTTTTATTCAAAGCTTTTCTGTAAACAATGTTCTTTTTTAATGTCCTGTTATTATTTAGTGCATAGCCTTGCCTATTGCCATTGGGAATATAAATTTCAATATTTTAAATGAACGTGCTGTACTTGCTGCCTTGTCCATGCGAAATTACTGGACATCGCAATATTACACAAATTTTTCCAAAACTTTGACCCTGCGATTTGATTATGGTCATAGCAAATGTAGCTATTAATAAAAATGTTGTTCTTTGAAATTCGAATAGAAGTATTGTGTCAGAAAAATATTAAATTAATTCTTGGAATTAAAATTCTTTTATTTAAAGTAACTCCCGTCAGTAATTCACTCTCATTCGTGTCCCATTGACTACTGCTTGTGCAGTATTTAAGTTAACAATGAGTATAACTATAGAATTTATTTTTTAATTTATGAGGTAACATTTCACTAACATTCAATGATATCATCTCTTCAAATAATAGTCCTGATTACTTCATCAAATGTAAAGTTTTTGATTTATCAAAAACCAAAATAAAGGAAATCGACTTTGCAAAAGAAAAAGTACTAAATCTTTAAAATGATATATTTCTGCAACAAATAGTCCGATATCGATAATTTTTTATTTTTATTTTGTAGCGAACTCATTCAGGAAGCTTTCAAATAAATATTGATGCTATCAATAAAAAAATATGTACTTTTTGAGTTATTCGCAAATACTGAATTCATCATAAAAATGTATGCAGCTTGTTTTTGGGAAAGTATGTTATATACATAAATTATAAATGTTTCAAGGGGAAGACTTTAGCCAAGTTTCATTAAAATTGTTGAAGCCATATTAGCAATACAGTCTAAAGCGAATCACGTTTTTCGGATGCCATTTTGAAAGGAAAGGCCTGATTATAATGAAACATAAACAAAAACAATTCTAAATATTATCGCGACGTTATATCAAAATTTCAAAGAAATTGGTGAAGAACTTTCGGACATTAGCTGTTTTAAATAAACTACCATTTATATTTTTATTTACAAAATATTTCATGTTTGTATTTATTGATAACACTAAAGCTCATCAATAGCTATTAAACAAGAAAAGAAGGAAGAAAATCGGTTGAATAATAGAGAAGAAAAAGGGGCTGAACCATTTTGTGTTTGCCTATTTATATAATGATAATTAATAATTAAATACCTTATATAAGGTATGATTTATATTGGTATTGTAAAGCTACTGTTCTTGGCAATGGTCTATTTCTGGGTTTTCGGGGTTCAAAATGGGAAACCTTCCCCAGGAAAGAAGAGAGAGTACTAAGAATTGGACATTGTGAGTTCTCGCACGCCTACCTGCTAAGAGGACTTGATCCTCAGACATGCGAGAGCTACAATGTCCAAAGGACAGTAAAATACATTATACAAGACTGCCCTATATTTGAAACAGTTAGGAAAACTTTGGACATGCCAAAAAGCCTAAAGAAATCTTGAATGACAGCGAAATAGCTGTTAAAAAACATTTGAATTTTTCAACAGACTACATTTCTAAAAGAGTGTAAATAAAAGGTGTTGCCAATGACCCCACAGAGTAGAGGAAACGAAAAAAAAAATTAAGAATATTTAAATTGAATCAGGAATTAAAATCATTAGAATTGGTTTAAATCATAAGCTACATTATAAAAGCTGACTTTTTCTCAACTTTTTAAATATTAAAGATGTCCATCTTTGATATGAGGCCAGTCAATTATAATACAAAGTTAAAAACTTTGTTAATAATAAAATAACTTAAAATTAGATTTTTAAATTATGTTAGTATTGCATTGTTCAATATTCAAAATTCAAATAGTAATATTACCTCTCCATATAAGTTTCCTTCTTCGTCCATGCTTAAATATAAGTTGGTATAAACTCCCCGAATCCTGACTTCACCCACATCACCAGCTGAGGTAAATTCCAAAATTTCTGTTAACAAAAAAATAAATTAATTATAAAAGATTTTGGAAGATAACAGAACAAATTGAGAACAATTTACTTACCATATTCTGCTAAATCACCAGAATCATCATTAATTCCTAAAACTTTTTCGTTAGGAAGTATAGTCAAATGATGACCAGTACGAGAGAATAATCTCATTCGGTATCCATAATGTGGATTACCGTAATGAATATCATCTATTTCATCCATATTAAGAGATTATTTTTGCTTTTCTTTTTTCATAGATTGTTTTAGCACAAATATTTTACAATTATTTGAACATTATAACAAATATTAGTATTCAAAATTTTGTTTTTAGAAGGAAAACATGTAAAATTACACTAGTAATGACTGTTCTCCCATCACTTTCAGGGGCTACTAAACCAGTCAAAACATTTGTGGCTGAAAATAGAAACATAACACTCAAAAAATCTTAAGTTTAAAAATACCGTTTCCAGATGCTAGAAAAAATGTGAGCGATTCTCTGCCAAAACAAATCTATCTATCGGCTTCATGCAAACAGCTGGGTTTATTAAATGATTTACAGTAAAATATGAATCAATTATGATTTGTTATAACATTTCAATAACAAAAAATTAATAACCAGTCTACATTTATAATAAATTTAATTAAATAAAAATATTTAACATGAAAATAACTATTCTGATAAAAAAAAACTTATAGAAAACAAAATATTTAACACTTGATGGTTTCACAGTATTACTATTCAGAAATGATTTTACAACAATTTTAAATAATTAAAGTATGTCAGAAAGATTGTATCAGACTAAACATCTCAAGAAAAACATCTGTTCTGAACAGTTTATGAATGGAGCTGTAAGTGGGCGTTCCAAAGGAATCTAACTCAAGTTGAATCAATGCCAGCCCCCTGACATGTGCAATAGACTCTTTATATAGACAAACTAGAGCAAATAGATGGTCTAACTCAGAAATCTTTTTATTTTTTTTTTTTATCTAATAATATGAGATAATATAATATAAAAAGCAAATTTATTTTGCGGTGAAACTCTTAAAAATAATAAATATGTACAGAAAAATAAATATTAATCCTGAACACGAGACCTATTAAAATAAATATATTTTTTCTAAATATATAAGTCTGTACATAATTATAAAAAATATATATTAAGTAAAAAAAAGGTAAAATAATAAATTCACCACTAAAAAAATAAGAGAAAAATTAAATTAATCTCATAAGCAAAAAATCTTTACCATAAAAACCAGATAATTAAATATTTTTAAAAAAGAAAATACACCTAATTGTTTAATAAATAAAGAATTCTATTATATAGAATTATTAAAATTAAAAAATGCAGAAATTAGTAAAGAAATGACATGGAATAAAATCCAGATCCAAAAAATAAAACAAGATAAAAATATATGACATTTGTATAAATGAATATCTAATAATATATATATATATATATTATTTATATATTTATATTTAAAAGTTATAATAAGAATATATTTAAAAGTTTTAAATGGACGACCATAAGATATTAAAATAATAATGCATAATCATTTTTAATAAAATATATTTTATTTATTACAGTATTTTTTTTGAGGGTTGAAAAAAAAATTATAAAAATAATTATAAATAATTTATGGTTAGGATATTTATATTTCCATAGGATAATTATGGTTCCATAATTTTGTTGAAGATAAGATTTAATTCATTAATAGTGATTTTTGAAAAAAATTTCTTTTATTGTGTATGTGTCAATAAACAAAATTTTGTTTGTCACTATTGTTAGAGCAAAAAATCGTATGTAAAAATTAAGTTTTTTTACAGAGGAGCATAGAAAATGATTATTTCTTAATGATTTATTAGCATAATTTCATATTTTATTTTCCTCTGCTATTTTCCATTGTAATAGACTACCTATTGCAGTTGCAGATTACAAAATGTCACTTTCAGCACAGATAGAATAAACATGGAAAATTGTTACATATACATTTTGCACTAACAAGGACATATAAAAAAAAAAAAAAGATAAAATAATAAATTCATCAATAAAAAAATCTAGTGAGCAAAACATTTTTACCTTAAAAATAACATAATTAAACATTATTTTAAAAAATAAATACACATAATTATGTAGTAAACAAAGAATTCTATTATATAGAATTGTTAAAGTAAAAAAATATAGAAACAGAAATCATAAAGAAATAAAGAAATGACTTATTCAATAATTTTCAGAAGCAAAAAATAAAATAAGATGAAAATATATGACATTTGAATAAATTTAAAAGTTTTTGGACGACCATAGGGTAATTATTAAAATAATAATGCATAATAAATTTTTAATAAAAAAATTTTTTTTTTTTAACTGGTTCTTATTTTTTTGGAGTGTTTTGAAAGTTAAATAAATAAAAAAACTAATTATGAATAATTTATGGTTAGGACTGTTACATGATTATGTTAATAGTTCTAGTGACGTTGTTACTAGAACACCCGTTAATAGTGACGTTGAAAATTTTTTCTTTTATTGTGAATATATTAATAACTTTTTTTTATATTAATAATATTGTTATAAGTATTACAATGCCAAATGCTTAAATGAGTTTAAGTGCAATATAGAAGTTTTAAATATTCCTCGGTAAAGTAAATTTAAATTGGTAAATACACATAAATGCATAGTAAATAAAGAATTCTAAATTAGTCAAAGTGAATCACATGAATAATAAATTAGCATCTTAAAGAAAAATTTCCTTATTTATTTTGTATTGTTTGGGAACTAGAAAAGTTTAAATTAAAGGATTTACAGAGCTCTTATTTATTTATTTTTTCATGTAATTCACAACTGTATTATAAAATAAAAATAGGTCTAGTAAATGTGATATAGAGAAATATAATGATATGAAAAGACTTGTAGAGAAACTACCCACCTCTTATTTTTAAATTAAAAGTTATGTTAAAGCAATTATTTATGCAAAAAAAATAAATTTAAAAATAGTAATTCTAATGCCTCGGAGATAGAGGACACCATGTCCATTTTTTAATTAAGTAAATTTAGTAACTAAGAAACAAATTTTAATAGCTCAAAGTTATGGAACATTGGCTCCCTAAACATATACAACACTGTGATATGGTGTTCTTTACCTTCGGGGTACAGAATTATCAATTCAATGGTTATTTCTTAATTAATGTATATTTAAAAAAAAAAAACATAAATAAATAAAAGTTGGAATTCTAAAATAAACTCTGAAAAATCTTTACTTTTTGAGTTATTCACAAATAAAGTTTCTTTTTCTTCATCAATTTTTTCCTGAAATTTCAGGGGATGTGCCTATTGTTTCTATCTAAAGGAGATCTTCAAATTGATGCCTCAATCATTGGATTTAATGAAGAATTGACGAAGACATGGTACAAAAAAAAAAAAAACACCTGTTTGATCAAGGTAATTTGGTGTGTGCCCATTGATTGACCTGTAATTGAATTATGTTGTGCTGGTTATTGTAAGAATTAGTGTGGACTGTATGAGGTTGGATCACTGAAATTTAATACATGATTAAAATAAACAAATGATTGAGAACATGATTATATTATACGTAATTGAATACAAAAAAAGAAATAAAGTTTGAGCATTTGTACAATTTTATTGTTCTTGACAGATGAAGTACATATTGTTGATTGTGAAATTACTGTTTTGTAGTATGGCATTGCAATGTTGGAAGTGATTTTGCTTCAGAATAAAATTTTGTGGTTAATTTGGACTCACTTGGTGTTTAAATTGAGCTTTTTTTTTTTGTCCTCTTCTTCTTCCTCCCCATACTTCCTGCAGCAGGCTGTTCTCTTGAGTTTTAGCAACTCATTTTTTTCCTCGTTTTGAGATTTCTGAAGAAAGTAACTGACAGTGTGCACACTTCACCAAATGAATTGGATTAATAGAACAGGAATAGTTTGCAGCAAAATGGCGGTCAATAAAAAGGTAGTTCAGAATTGTTTTCATTTGTTATGTTTTTTGTGTTTCAGGAGTTGATCCCTAAACAACATCTTTGGGAAATAATATTAAAAGATTGTAGACATGTGTCAAGAAAACAAATATCAAATATTATCCCTAAAAGCATTATTGTTCCTGTAGTTACCATGCTTTTTTTTTGTTTTTTTAAAGGCATTCAAGAACCATTTAAACATTATTACATATAGGTGTAGAGATGGTTGACCGTGATATAATATGAGAAAGAGTTGGTTGAGGGGTGCGGTCATAAATTGTTAAAACGTATAAAATTAGGCGTAACGAATAAAATACTATTTTAACAATTTAGTATTTATTTGACTGGATCCTCCGACCAACTACTTCTCATTATTCCATATAGTTTCTTTCAGAGTAATTAGTGTTGAAAATAAAAAAAAAGCCCTTCCTCCAAAAAATGCTGAATCTGCTACAGATGTGCTGCTCAAAAGGGGCTGATAAAAGAGATATCAAATTAAAACAAAAAAGAAAAATACATATCAACAGGAAGTCTAAGCATTAAAACATACATATTTTCTTCTTTAATAAACAAAACATTCAATTATAGTATGCAAATTTCTTCAGAACCATATTTATTCTTGTCAATAAATATGCAAAGATGATTAATCACAGGTGGGAGAGCCTTGAGGCTACCTGCAGTCTATGTTAGTTTTGCGTGACCTTCATTAATCAAGCGATAGAATTAATTAATATATTATTTAGGTTACGAAAATTTGAAAATTAATAGAATTGAGTTAAATATATGTACATGGGTATGTTTGAATTATTTACAAATAAAAATAACAACAATAAAATATAAAAAATTATTACGACCTCCATTATCACTGCCTAACCTTAATGCAGCATCTAATGATAAAAAAGTTCTCTGCATATGATTTATACCATCTTCTTATCATTAAATTATTGGTATTAAAAACATAAATTGTTCTTGACAGCATGTCTTTTGTCGTTTTATAATATCAAGAGCAATTTAGATTAACATATTTATCTCATTGGATGAATGTCTTTATCTAAACTTCAGTAGAAGCTTATTTATGAGAATCATTAATTATTATCGCTCATGCACAAGAATCAATACAATACTAAAGGAATGAAATATATGTAGATCACAAAAACATATTCTTAGTCAACCACAAATATATGTTTAGAAAAAATTAGTGACATACCTGTTAATTATATATTTTTTAAAATAGTAAAAACAAATGTCGGATATCATTATTATTTTTTTTTTTTTTACAATACGCGAGGAGCTCTAGCTCCCCTCGGTACCTGAGTTCATAGGCCGGAGGCACATCAAATTTTTTGATGGACTGAAGGCCTGTGCAAACCCA